AAAAGAACCAAAAAATGCCTTCCTCGGCCATTTGGGGAAGAGTAACGGGTGGTGAATAGCCTGAGTGCTCGGGTCGACGTTATCAAGTTAGCAGTTTTGCGAGAATTTAAGGGGAACAAATTACACATTATCGAGTGGGACATTTTAGGGAAACAGCCATTCTTTGCATTATTGTAACGAGCAATTAGAGACCTGTGACCGTCACGGGGGAAAAGGGAACCTTGGTAAAGATCTGGCAAGGTCGACCGCTTTTGTGGGGAAATAAACGGCTGAAAGAGGCGGCGGGGAGAGCAGTGTTGGAACTATGAAATAATGCAGGCTTCCTCGCTGAATCGCTCTAGACGTGAAAGCAAAAATGAAATCAGCGGTCCTTGAGGATTTTTTTCCACGGAGATGGCCAGAATGGGAGAAAATAAATATAAAGCATGTGGTCTGGAAGTCGAGGTCCACGCTAAGACACGGGAAGACATGATTGAAACATGTCTCGAGACCGGGTGACAAAGAGGTTTACTCTTGGGCGAGAAATGTGCTAATAAAAGCCCAGTTGAGGACGAAGGTCGAACCCATTACAAGGCCAAGCGCCCCCCCCCTTCCGAACGGTCTAAGGAGATGCATCGCGGTTGCGCATGCTAACCTCTCGCTGAAAACGAGCAAGTGTTGAGGGCTGAGGCTCGGTGAGTTGCGGTTAACTACACACATTGCAAATGTCTTCACGGGTCGATGGGACGGAATTGATATGCTGGAGAAAAAAAATTCATTCCCGCGTATGTGCATAACCGTATCGCTTCTGCTTGGGTTAGCCCGAAGCAGAAACGCCGACGAGGGTACACCCGTGTTGTATAGTCGCGCCTCGTTACGTGCTTCGTGGATCAACCAGCACGCTGATATGTTAGCCGCTCGACTGGTCAGGTTTGCTTCCCCCAAAAAATGATTGACGAGACCAATAGATTTGATTGCCATTCACTTGTTAATATTTGCGGAAAAGATTGAAGAGAAGTAAAAGATATGTCATGACATAAATAACCGCAATCAAGTCATGCCTTGAGCTGTAATTAAAGTCCCTTTTATAGATGGAGATTTCTTCCTTCGGTAATTTCAAAAGGTTTCTGCTTGATCTCTGAACACTATCTTGGAAGTTTTACCCCTCTGTTAATTTCTAAACACGCAGAAGCAGGCCTGTCTTCCTGGTGTGTCGCAGAAAGCGCCCGAGTCTTTTGTAGTGATTGAGAGTGTAGGTTTTAAAAAGGACTGGTGCTAACAGATTAGACAATGTTCCCCAGTTCGACTAACCCCCGTCTACGCAGCTTTGAATTGTTTCATCCATCGCCTATGACCGTGGCCTAGTTTGATTAAGGACCACTACCTGTATGGTTGGTTCGTTATGCACCTAGCGCGTGTGCAGTGAAGTTGAAGTCCGAACAACCCTAGTCAACCGTTGTCAGCTCTCTAGGAAAAGGGGAGAAAAGGTGGCTGCAGGAAGGGCAAAATAGCAAAAAAAGAAAGTGAAAATGGTCGTTGATTAGTGACATACTGTTTTCCTCGGCATTTTTCTTTTAACTGGTCCTTCCTGCACTGTGCTATTTAAAACGGTTTACGGCAACCAACGATGCGACCAACCTCGATGGGCTGGTTGCGAATAGTTGACTGGACAAGTCCCACCGTCGTCGACAAGCAATAAGAGTTAGCCGAACTATGGTCAACCATGGTCCTTGATCGAACTTGCCGGACACCGGTCAACATTGCCAGTGGCGAGTTTTGCCAGCGTCGTAGTTCGTTTGGGAATGTTCTTCTGTAAGTTTAATTGGGTAAGAATTACACGCGGTGATGTATAATACGCAAATCCCCAAAACAATTAACCAAAGAGAAACAACCGAATCAAACCGCACCGTAAGTGGCCTACCTGGTATAAGTTTTGGGTATAGGTTGCCCTGGTTACGAATTGGTTGTCTCCCGCAGCTCGTTAAAACACTGTGCATCTGTTCGTGAAGCTTGATCGTTGACTGGCGGGCCCTGAATCAGCAATGATAAGTCAGTAAGCTGCAAAATTCTGCGGCAAAGTTTGAGAGAGTTCTGCTGATGCTGTAACATCGCTGAATTTGTACTTCGGTGGACCTAATCGCAACTGGATTACGATATTATATAAAGTTTACATTTTATATTAATTTTCAAAGGCAGCACCAAAGATTCGATTAAAGTTGACCTTTGATAGCAGAATATACCCCAAAAGTAAAACTTTCAGAGACGACGACTTGCCCTTATAAATGGGCCAGGCACACTTTTCGATTTTGTTGCCAAATTGTTTTGAGGATGTTTGGAATCTCATAAACTGCAGATGGTGTAATCATGCTACGAATGCAACATTGTGGTCAAATTAGCCCATTTTGTGGCTAGCTTCCTACCAGTTACCTTGGCTATTTCCTGCCTTCAAAGTAAAACACTGCGGACAGTCCCTGTCCTTCCAGTAAGTTGCAGACGACTTCCAAAATATGAATAATAAAGACTCTCTCCCTTACGTGTTCGGATCATCATTGACCGTTATGTTTGCCGCCACCAAGTGTCTCCAAAATCTCACATGACCCTTGTATAAGGCAGTCGCCACGACTTATAGTCAAAACATATAGCACGAAATCTTACCCAGAAGCAATAAGAAAGAGGGCAGCGGAACATTTTGATAATCAGATTAACAAAGTCAGGCGTTTTTCCACATTTTCAACCGTTTAATACGCGCGATTCACAATAGTGCGTCTGTTTAGAGTTAGGTCTGGGCCTTCTCTTCATTGGATATACGCGGAGGCGGGCAGAGAATAGACCTGGCCGTAGCTCTACAAGCCCGTTTCGAACACAGCCTTTCAAAAAAGAAAGGTTACCTGGGAACAAAACACACGAAGGGCAGCGCTCATTGGGCAGAACCTTGCACGCGCGTCCAAATGACCTTGGACGCGATTCATTTTTGGCATGCGTTGTTGGAATACCGAACTGGCTCATTATGGAAAGACGCCTTTTATCGAAAAATGACCAGAAAAAAATATCAGGATCAGAATTTTTCTAATGCAACGCACCGAGGGAAACATCCTACATTTTCGTAAACATGAGGGATTTCTCTAGTTCTTATTACATTAAGGCGGCTATACGTCACCCACAACTTTTCCAAACTGTCAGGTTGGGAACTTGAGACACGGGAAAACAAAAATCAGGAAGTCTTCACTTTCACCAAATAACTCTAAATGACTCAATGAGGGGAGTGTTTGAGGGACCTTGCTCTAGATAGCATCCCTTACTCGATGTGAAAAAGATAGCAGGTTGACTAATTCATTTGAAGTAATTTTCGAATGTTGCGCGTTTTCTGGCAATTGCTTTATTGAATCGGCGGCTCCCTGCACCAGTTGACGTGCCCTGTTTTGAACAACCCGAGCGCGAGGCCAGAAACGCATTGTCCAAAGCGTGTTACTTAGATAATGATAACAAAACACATGGTAGCATTTACCGTGGCGTAACCCCCTTTTCTGCTGGTCTGAATGGCTTAACTTGATAACACGGGGAGGAAATTCTCCGGAAATAGGTCTGCCGCCCCAAATTCTCCTCCGCGGGCCCATTCTCGGCACGGCCGTGTTCAGGGTCGAGCTCACGGCACCTTTCTTCATCTTAAAAGCTGCTCTCTTCATGAAGCCAAAGTGAATTGGAATAATTGCATTCTATCTGTTTTTCTTTTACTTCCATTATGAAAAGATGTTTGCCCTTGTTGCCAATTCTTCTCATGACAAATATGCAGTACCACACTCGAGAGGACTTACAAGTGTGGGTACATTCTATAACTACAAAATGTAGCATCGCTGTCAGAAGAAATGGCTAAAGGGGTAGGGTATATAAGTTTGCGTCCCCCTCCTGGGATTTATGACCAGTGGCGTATCGAAATTCCGAGTCGGAGAAGGGGCAAAATGTTGGAGTGTTTCGAAAACGATCGTTTCTTGATAAAAAGACCCCTCCCCCGAGGAAAGATTCAAGCCTACCGTGTATAATAGAGTTTGCGCTAATAAGAAAAAAGGGCAACATGTCCCCAGGGGCAAAGTTGCTTTCCTCTTTCCCAGTTGGATAGGCCTCCGCCTGCGAACCCTTGAGCTCTCCCCCACACTGAATTAATGGCAGATAAAAAGAAATTTGTATTGTTTGATACCATAAATGTATTGGAGCATGACTGTGATACACTGCTGCTCATTTGCTCGTTTCGCTGCTCCTTTATGAGCAAATGAGCAGCAACGTGAGTAGCAAAATGAGCATATGAGCAGCAAAATGAGCACAATCCTACGCAATGCATCCGGTCATTAGCCACTCGCGTCATCACGTTCCTTCTAGATTCCCACCTACCCCTAACAATCCCCATAACACGGGAATAAGAAGTGGGCGCGGTTCAACGTGTATTGCCTTGCAACAAGGCTGTAATCACTTCCCGCGTTACGTCTTAACCCACACGTTCTTTTGCGAAAACAATGATTGTCTTCAACCAAAGCACTTTTTCAAATAGGGCACGTCTTGGCATCAAATCTGTTGGGCCCTGATTTGTTGTGTCTTCATCATTGGGCCGATTTATGCATCGGTTCATTCATGCAAAGGTGAATCAACGCTGATGTCACGATACGTTTACAGCGAAATTCACTCGACTTGAAATGTGTTCAACTTTTGCGGATCCGGAGCACAAACATTTGATTTGACGTCAGAAATTCGCGTTCGTTGTCGCTCTCCCACCAAGTATGAACCGACCCTAAGAGTATTGTTGATGTGGGGTTCAATAAAATCATATTCATTTGTCTCGCTCTCATTTGGAATATTGCAAGTATAACCAAGGCAAAAATTGACTTATTCAGGGACCCGAATGAAAGACAGTGATTTTGAGCCAAAAAATTGTATTTGTGTTCCGAATTGTTCAGTTTGTAGAAGTAAAAGTCTCTGTTAAAACGCAATCAAGTCCACAATGTTGGAGTTTAAAACATTCCCTTTTTTGGCAGATATTTCCGAGAGTGGGGAGGAGAGCGTCAGTGGAGGCAGCGGGCTCCTGCGCAGTCAGACACCGCCTCCTAGCCAGCAGTCCCCGCTACTACCGTCCAGCAACGGGAAGAAGAAGCGAAAGAAAAGGAGGCACAGGTAACTGAAAGTTGTCGGATATCATGTTGACAAGCATATATCCTTCCTCGTGGAATGTTCATTTTCCTAACATGTTGAGGTCCCTTTTTGCCTGAAGCCCAGGCCCAGGTCTAACCTCTACGCGAGTTCGTCAGCGGAGTGACTTGGTTTGACAATGAGAGATAGGGAACGCTAGACGGCATGACATTTATTTTGCTTCACTAATTACCAGACTCTAATGGGAAGACGATAAAAACCGGGATTTGCTCGTTAGTGAAAGCAAGGTTTTGCTGCGTAATAGTTTGACGTCACAACTTTGCATTATACCGACCAAAGAACACCGACGCAGGGACCGACCATGGACCAAAAAAAACCGCTTGCAAACAATATCAGACAAAAACTGAGAAACTCGATAAAAGTCGGTATAAAAGGGCTTGGAGTTTTTCATCTGTGCGGAGCGATTCGTCTTACCGTGTATATCCTGGGGTAAGGGACCAAATTCAACCCGCTAATTTGATTTATTGGGAGGAAAATGATAATATATTTACTCTACTGACTTTACGAGGAACTAGCCAGTTTCCATTCAAGGGTGAAAGCAAGTCAAATCTAGTGCACAAAATGTCGATATTGCAATGGACATACAAATATATGTTATATGCCCAAAGGCAGCGAAGTCAAATTGAATTGGCTGAACAAACTGCGGCGATCGCCTGGACTTGTTGGGAGGTATAAATTATTTCCCTAATCACGTTGCTCCGTATTGCGGTTCATAAACTCCACGAACCTTCCCCGGAAGGAATCATCCAAGCGGACCTACTGAAGATAAGTGTTAAGACATGCAAAACAAACCCACCGACAAATGAAAACCGGCAAGACAGCAATAACACAGGTCCTTTTTCTGTTGATTTACTTGAGAGTGAACCACATTTTGGAAAATAACATGCAATGCACGTTTTCACACTACAGGGTCCACATGGCCAAAATTCAGCCACCTGTGACTGGATCGTAGAAACAATACAGGACAGACTAGTGGGGCAAAACTTCTCAATGATTAGGCATTTAATGCTTAAAGGGTTCAGGCAACGCCCCCTTTTCAGCCACATTTTTGTGCAACTTTATAATGTATTTCAATGTATGAAACCAATTTTTCAGCCTACGGGATTAAGTGGTGTGAATAAAGGACGAAATAAACATTTAAAAATGTATATGCTTTAAGAAAACAGAGGGTGCTGTTGTTGGGTCAGTTTATGGGTTTTTCTGTTCAAATTGTTAACATAACATTAGCTCATTGAAACATTTATGAGATAAGGTTGCTCAATGACTTGCAGTTGTCACGTCCTTTCACAACAGAAAATTACTATGGGAATTCAGCACGACAAAAATATACAAAAAAATGCCAGAGGTTTCTGTGCACAAATCAATGTAACATTGAGGCTTTTCCCTTGAAAAGTTTTTATTACGAATATGGAAATTCGGCATCAGCATGAAACCCCCAAAGCACCAAAGACCTTTAAAAATAGATAAACAAAGACTGTAAAGGAAGTTAACTGAAACAAAAGGGTGCATTTTTCAAGGAATGTACAAGAATAAAGAGCATTACCTACCTTTTAATAAGGTTTTAATTCTGCCAGCTGTTGCTGAAAAATAAGTCCCACACATTCGGACAAACTCATCAAAACCGTTGCCAAAATTTTACCCTGATAAATCAACCAGAAACTTGAGCGTTGAACATCCCATTATGGCACTGTCAAACATTGAGCGCACTTTATAGCTTAGATAGGATTAGTATCAATATATGAATATAAACATCATGTATATAGAAAACCCTGATTCGTTGGTCGACCCAAATTAGCCACCCTTAGATTTTGCAGTAATATTCCAAGCTAGCAATGGCTGATCTCTGGACTCAGTTCTTGAACAAGACTGGTCCAGTGATTCTTTGACTTTCGAAATCTTGTATCGAATAGCAGGCTATCGATTCTCTAGCTTATTGAATGCTAGTTTGGCGCTATAACTGAAATCCCGTGGTGCCTATACGATTTCTTGATAATGGAATGTTTGCTTTATTTCACTGCACTGAAGTTTTGACAGGTAAGTTTTACAAAACCTATATGTAAGATTTAGAAGGTAGAAATTACTGGATTTGCCTTTCTTCAGTAGTAGGCCATCCTGAATCAAACCTCAGACGATCTCTGCTAAATAAGTCTTTAAGAATTTTAGTAGGAATAGAGAGGAATTAACAGATGCAAAGTACAGATATTACGTGCATGAATCCATTTGCTTCAATGAGTGATTAAAAATTATTCATACAAGGTCATGATGTAGTTCCCCCTCCCATGAGTTACAGTTTCTTCCAGAAGCTCTCTTGTCTTTCGAGATTGCCAAATAAATCCTAAATGGCCAATTTGTGAGAACCAGTCGAAAAATATGCATGCACATTATCCCAATGAAGGCATTTATATCTGAATGAATCTGAATGCAAGGAAAACGAACGGTCAGCTTGAAACAATTTCCTTTGAAGATCTGTTCCAAGTCGCTGTATAATAAGGCCTAAACAAATTATACGTTTCCGAGCAATTTCGGTGTGAATGTTTGGTTTGTGTTCCTGAGAGGAATGACAAAGGGAAAGTACACCAGGTCACACACGAATGGACTTTAACCAACATTTACATGGTAGATTTGCTGAATGGGGATGCATCTATAACATGACTCATTATTAGAAATGTCTACTGTGCACACGACATTTCACCCAATCGTTTTGATCTGGACAAACGGCACTATAGGTAAGAATGACAGGTACAACTTTAACCAACCCCGAAAATTGATGTCAAGTACGACTGAAGTTGTTCCACTGATTACCCAAAGTGGCCGGCAATTTGTCATGAAAATATTTTACAAATTGATGTCGGGCGACGCGGAGTTGGCAGCTGTTTGTTTGACAAACACTTCAGGTTTGGTAAACCGTGTCGTATGAAACATGCTGAGGACGGCGGGAACGGGTCGAACCCCGTTTGCTGAGGGGCCATGACGTGACAAGACATTCCTGGGACCGGTGCGCGGTGCAAAAATCCAGCCGGTGTTGGTCGGCCCGAAATGCCCCTTATCTCACCGCTCCTGGTCTATCACCCCGAAGAAAATCGCCCCCTCGTCTCTCTTGTCCTTTTATCGCTGCCTAGCCGTCTGCGTTATTGGCCTGCGCCAATTAGTGCCGTGTTTTGGCTGTCACTTGTCGGAAATGTTTAGTCTTGGTGAAGCCAATTTTGGTGGGGCCCGGCACTCGTGGCTGACGGCTGACGTTCGTCAAGTGGAGTAGGTGGCCTGACTCATACTTAACGCACAGTTAGAGAAAGAAGTACAGACAAAACAAATAGCAAGCATTCAATACCATGAGCATTGATAGGCTTTAGGATAATTTAAGGTAAAACGGGAATATCCAAACTTGCAATGCCCTGGCGGGATGTGAAAGTAATAAAAAAAACAAAAGGCAAAAGAAGACATGTAGCCGTGAACTCTCGAATGTTGAAGAGTCTAGGGCTAAGCAGAATTTGTACATTGTATAGGGTGCACCACAAGTATAAATTCCCATAGACAGCAGTGATAAATCTCCATTACTTCACAATTATTTCAAAAATATTCACAACTCTCACAGGTGTTCAGGCTGCACAGAAGAACGATTTTCGACATGTCCCCTTTCATTTCCTTTCAATTTCTTTTTTTTGGAGGGGGGTTGACAGATGAAATTTTGAGAAATTCTCACCAGAAGCAGACCTCCCCTCCAATGGAGAGATGTCCCTGCCCAGAAAAGTAGCCATTTTGAGAAACCCTCCCTCTGCAAAACGGCCAAATAGTGCCACTTTCGGACCCAATGGCGCCCAAATTGCTCAAAATTGGAAGCCCTCAGTCCAGGCCAGAGGTTCCACGCAATATTAAATTGAAAAACTCTTCTTCGATTCCCGAATATCATGGCTCTTGCAACTTTCTAATAACAAATATTTTGAGTGTTTAACTGTTATTAATGAGCTCGGCGGACGGCTCTTGTGCCTATTTACGTGGGTGCCAATGCTACAAACACCCAGGTGCGTTTAGATGGGTTGTATGAGCTCACTGTAAACAAATTACTGTTTTCCTTTTACGTTGCACGCGTACACTATTAAACCTAAGCTGGTATTTCTGGCTGCATGCTTGCACAGTTCGGGTTGGTTTCCATGAAAGTGGAAGTCGGCCTGACAGACATATGCACAAGAACGCCACTCAAATGAAAAAAAAAGAAAAAAGTTTTGTCTAGCGCTGCTTCACGCAAAGGGTTTACCTCCGCAACCAAAGAAAATATGTTGTCCATGTTACGCAATTCTTAGGGTAACTGGACGGACAGCATGTTGCACTTTCCTTCTCTTCCTGTTTTCCAGGACGATCTTTACAAGTTACCAGCTTGAGGAGCTGGAGAAGGCCTTCACAGATGCCCACTATCCCGACGTATATGCCCGAGAGATGCTGGCTCTCAAAACGGACCTCCCGGAAGACCGTATCCAGGTATGTGACCCGCCCTAGCTGGAGCATTGCCAGCGCCAAAAATGGCCTTGGGGGGGGGGTAGCAGGTCCCAACACTCGTTCGTATAGTGTTGTGATCTTTTAAAATTAAGTATTCTCTTTTTGTTGGTTCTGAAGGATTGTTAGAGAGCACAGAAACTTGTCTGATGTCAAGACTAAACATCCACACTCAATCGATTTATTTACCTATTTATTTATTTATTTTTTATTGAGTTCCGTGAAAGTTAGAGTTTAGGAAAGACACCTTTAGCCTGTTGCTGTCTTCTGCCAGATTTCATGTAAACTTCCTCTACGTCACGCTCTCGGTTAACGACCATTTAAACATGTATTCACAAAAGTATGTTTACTTCAATTTGAAACCCCGGTGTATGAGACGACCCACCTAGACACAGATCTTAATGCCCTTGTATGTAGATTCTGAAGCCATGGAAAACAGCACCATGCAATTTTGCTTGTTTCAGTTGAGTTTCGCAGCTTTCCATTTGGTAAAGGTGGATGGTTAGGTGAAGAGCTTTGAGGTAGCATCGTGCAAGGATATCTCTTTTGAGTAAGTGTGGTTCTGAAAAGAGCCACACTCCAATTGCTTGTTTGGGTTCCGCAAACGAGGGTACGAAATATTAGCCTTGAAACTGAAGAGTACTTTTGCAGCGTAAAAAAATCATTAGTCTCATTTCAGAAAAGCCTCTTTATTGCCGCATTGATCCAAACCTGCCTGTTATGAAGAACACAGGCTATACGAATCATTGTCCGTGTGGTATCGGAATCACGAGGCATGTCAACGATAATTTCCAACGTTTGGGGGAGTTAAGGAGGCTGAGATTCGGCGAGAAAAGCGGATTAGGGGAATTACTCTACTCTAGAAAGCCCGTCCTAGATCTTGCTGCCTCTTTACAGGAAAAAAAATGGAAGACGACTTTAGAGGAAATCCGGAAGATGGTTATTGGCGCGAGCAAAGTACGGGTCCCGCCGCGGCGTCTCCCGGCATCTGCAAAGCAATTAGGTGGGCCGGGTTACTATCGGGGTGTCCCCGTCGCAAAGCCGTCTTAATTTTTCCAATTTGGAAAATGAGCAATTTGTAAGCCATCAAAAACTCATCCGGAGCCTGCGGGCCTGAGAAAAAAAGAAAGAAAGAAAGACTGAAGCCGGCACTGAGGGTTGGGAGACGGGGTATTATGGAGGGGGGGAGGCTAAAGATGAAATTCAATCCGGCTTGAGCAACCTAGCGGCAATCGCGTAAACACGTATGCCTAATAATACACAGGGCCTGTCTTTCGACCCTGTGAGGATTTTCAAGATGCAACATCACAGTCTGGTGAATAGCCTCGAATCCAGTGTTTTTCCATGATTCGAAAGCAGAGAGGTTTGCACAAAATTATATTGTCTACCTCACGGGACGTTTAAGCACGCACGTGTGTATGCGCCCTCGACCAACGGTTTTAGATGCAGACATGTAAGTCTTTGTTGTTATTATATACGTAGTCACAAACTAACTCCAAGTTAATCAACCGCAAAATAAGTGACTTCTGAAATTGGCAGTCGCTTCGAAGATGAAAAAACGCATAAACCTTTCATACAAAGCACGAATAAAACTAACGGTTGAGAGGGGGAACGTTCCTTACAAAAAAAGATGATTAATTAACAATTACTGGGACAATTTGCCTTTCTACGCATGGGAGACCCATTATTAGATGGTTCTTTTAGTATACTCTGCAATGTTGTGGAGGACGGCATTTCTAAAATTCGTGCCTGATTGCACATATTCGTGCACGTTCATCCGAGCGCTGTTGATTACCTTAACTGACCGCACTCGCCTGGAAGATAGTCGGGACTTCAATTTGCCAACGGTTTTCCAATTCTCCAATCGTCCTCGTCTTCTTCTCCTTTTTTCCTCAAATGCCGCCCCCCCCTCCCTTGCGCGACGAAATGGGGCAATCAATTTCGGCACATTGAATTAATAGCCCAAACTGTGCATTTATCAAGCCACAGCATCGGGCGCATGCTGGCTCGACCTTCCGTGCACCGTCTATCTATGGGATCTACTACTCGCGAAAAATTAAGCGTCTGGTCGAGGTAACTTCGGAAGAGTACAGAGTTAGCAAGAGACTCTCCACTTTCGGTCTGGCTTCAAGGTTGACTGCATGCATTGCGCAGGCACTCTTTGCCCGTTTTGAAACGAGGTCGGTTTTCCTTAAAGAAGTCATTTCGCACTGACTAGCTGTAGCCCGGCAAATTGAGATCAAGTCTGCATAACATCTCCCGCCCATCACTCCCGAAAAGTTTACATTTAAAACTGCGATATGTCAAGGTCACAAGGTTACTAGCCCCCGGTTTGTCAAGGGCCACTTTCGGTCGTCCTGGATGTATTAGTCGTCGGCCAATTTAACATTAAACATACGACCCCTGAAAGTGGTTTTCGACAATTGAGTCAACTGCATATTTGAATATTACCCGCAAGCTATACGCATGTGCGTTTACAGTCTGGTGCCGCAGAGAATTAGGCACCAACGTCTCTGGGTTCTATTACCCGATTTTATTATTTTGTTATATCTGCATGGAATATAATTACTAAGAACATAAATATGGGCCTGAACATAGGACCGACTAAAACGATTCGCAAGAAAACATAGTCTCTTTTTCCCCCAGTAAATTCGTCTCCGAATCCTGAAGTTGTCCCATATTTCAGCCACAAAACATGCGCACAGCGATGTCTTTTGAATCAAAGGACGACAGAGTAGCGGCAAAAATAATAATAAAACTCTATAATTGTTTGCGAGCGTTAACAAAACATCCAAGTGGGTCTCGTTTTTTTTTTACTATTAAATGGCTTAAAGGAAGTTTCCGAATCGAAAATTATAAAAAATAAGAACTGCTGATTCTTGAACTAACATCACCTTTAGAGGTTTTGGTCCACGATCAATGAAATGCGTTTAATCGCCTTCTCACCCGAAGAGATAATTAATTCCTTTAGTACGAGAGTGACAAAACTAAGTAGATGAGAACTGTTTTCATTACAAACAAGATGCTGGTTTGAAATAACAAGTTAAACTGTATTGACAACGGATTCTGGTTTTATTTCTCGGTACACTGTGATTAACCGCACTCGCTGTACACTGTTGGTTACTGCTTCATGCATCGCAAGGCGAAGGAACACACGGCGAATTAGTTACTAATTTATCGGGGCTTAAATTGTAGACGGGATTTCGATCACGGATTGGGCCGCGAGGCACAGGCACAGTCTGGCACCCTGATGCTGTTCTGCCGCGCACCCAGTATCAACAATTGTGAGATTATCAATCTTCCATTGAACTAATTGCGAAAGCTCATCCCCCGACCTGTCCCCCTCCCCCCCTCCTTCGTCATTCCCGTCCCGGCGAGGTCTGTTCGCATCCACCAAATTGAAATTGACGGGAGGGGGAGGACTAGGGGGAAGACGGCCCCGGCTCCGGTTGTTTTGTTCGAGGGGCCCCGATGAGTTGCAACGTTATAGCTGTGGCGTGATGTGCGGATAAAGCAATGAGCGGGACCCCAGAGTCACGTACAAGATCTTCCATTACCACGTGAGCACGTGACTTCAAGCGACTGTCTCGAATTATCATGCAGCAACCGCCCCCCCATACCTTGGCAGTGTTTTTCTCTCTGTCTTTACCGCTTCGATTGCGTGTGCTTTCGCCAATCAAAAGTCCCTTTCGCGTTTGTCATTAAACGACGTAATTACGCAGCCGGACCATCAGCCCGCCAGTTCTGTCGATTTTTATGTGACTTACAATCTGGGAGTAAATTTAAACAGAACACATCAAGATTGGCCAGAGAAGCAGCGCTATTCAACGTCAGAAATCACCACGCGAGCAGCCTAACAACCGTTTCAAAGAGCACTGACCGAAAAATATCAGCTTGGCATGAGCAATACCATTCATACCGTTGTTTTCAGCAGTTGATAAAACAGCTGAAATGTCATCACTAACGGGCAGCATGATTTGGTCAGTCTGATGAACTTTTTTCAAACCCTGTCATTTGAAAAAAAAAGTAGAATGTCATCAGCATGGGCCTAACACTCTCTCTCACTTTCTGTCCAGCAAAATCAAGAATCTCAAATACCGGTAAAAATCAAACGTGTAGACGACTGAGTTAGGAGCAGATATATCGGGGATCTTAAGTGTATTATTCCCGCCCCTCTGAGGCCATCCAAACACACACAAAAAACCGCTGCCAACCGAATCGGCGAATTCCTCCCAAAATGGAGAAGGTATGCACATTGTAGAATTTTCCGTGGAAAGTGCTCTGGATTCCCATTCGGCACCGTATGAGGGCCTTTCTTCCCTTCCTAGCTCTGAGATACTGAGCTCTCAACCGGGGCTTGGATGGACCGACGGACGGACGGAACGGGGGCTATAGGCCTAATCAAACTAAAGACCAATAACCGCTAATACTCTGCCCTCCGGGCTGTCTACCCGTGGGGGATGCGAGCGCGAATTTGCCGCAGCCAAGCGCGTCCTTTGTACGCCAACATTAACATCAAGTCAGTATGTCATTGCCCGACCGTTCACAATAAACACAGCCTATCTGGGGAAATAACAGTCTCTCATCAGCATCTTCATCTAATAGCTTCGCGGTCACCAGTACAGTTCGCACACTTTTCGCAAAAGCAAACCATTACGGCATTACCGACGCTCAAAGGCCGAGAGGAGCTCCTCGATATGTATTTTGTGTCGCTACAAAATTTACACAAATAAGGTATAAAGGTGTTATTTCGCGCGGAGTTCCCCCTGGACTGGTCATTGTATCTGGATGTACTGGAAGATTAATTTTCTCCGGTGCTGTAACCGTTTGCATAAATGGGTATTAATGGAACAGTTAATCATCACCCTGGAGAAGCGAGTTGAATGAACCAAGGCTGTGCAGAGAAGTGTGGCGTACACATTGCGTGTCTGCCACGCGTAAACGTGCAAAAGAGTTTGTGGGCCCCGCGACGGGGTCTCTAGGTCCCAGGTTGCTGGGGCCTCAAACAGTGACCGGCTTGAGAAACTACTGCAGTTGCCGCCGAACAATTCAACAAGTCCATTAAGACATAGAACAGACTGGATGAAAATGAAAGACATCAAAATCAGGAGGAGCTTGACACAAAGCCGAGCAAAAGCGAACCTGGAGATTCAAAAGAGCCTTAATTTTGGAGGGAAAAAAATACAATAAATAAAGACTATTTTGATATTTCCTGCACGGTTTTAAACTTTAATTTTTCAGCGTGTGTGTTATCATTATCCACGGGAAGGGATTGTCTCTGTTGCTTGTTCAATTTTCAACTACTTTAGTGGTTTTTATTACTGCCAACTGAAGGTCACAAATGAAGCCAGGCTGTAGGATTTGTTCGCAATGCATTGTTGAATGAAGCACGACATGACATGTCGTGCCATGTCGTGCCTTGGCATTGCACGTCAGCCCGGGAAATGACCCCACGCCCAATAAAGCGTAAAATGTTATTACAACTAGACTGTGGCCCAGTGTGTTTGAAAAAAAAAACACACGACTTTCGTGAGAATGGTTTATCCAGTTCTTGTGGAATACGGGCGATTCACAAAAGTGCGCCTCCAAGAGTTTGCAACGCGTTGGCCAATCACAATGCGCGAAATCTGTCGACCCAATGCGCTTTTGAAAATGGTCGACACATTTCGCGCGATGTGATTCGCCAACGCGTTGCAAACTCTTGGAGGCGCACTATTGTGAATCGCCCGTATTGGTGTCAAAATGCTCCTAGGCAGAAGTAAACTCCGGAAGGCTTGGCATTTTTTTTAATGCTTCGTGACAGAACTTGAGGAAATGCACAGGGTTGGGGTTCTGCCCTTAGCTTTTTTTTTTAAATGGGCAAATTGATCAAGCTCACATAATTATTCTCATTTCTTGGCCGTCGATTCCATGCAGGTCTGGTTCCAGAACCGCCGAGCCAAGTGGCGGAAGAGGGAGAAGTGCTGGGGGCGGAGTAGCGTCATGGCTGAGTACGGACTGTACGGCGCCATGGTCCGGCACTCACTCCCGCTGCCGGAAAGCATCCTCAAGTCGTCGGAAAAAGGTGATGGAGAGTGCTGCGCGCCCTGGCTGCTCGGTATGTCCGGCCGGTCGTTGAATCGGAGTGGATTTAGGAAAAGGGGTATTTTTTTCGGGGTAGGGGGTGGAGTCCAAACTTCATCTTCGTCTCCAGCGTATTTATTGCCGCCCTGACGTTGGGAACTTCCTGGTCTATATTTTACTTCACTCGGAAAAATGTCACCTAAAATCTTTTAATGTGAGTTTTGACGGTAACAGCAATTGGGTGTGTGTAATTTAGACAAAATCTGAAGCGGAGCCTGCCCTCCAAAATCGGCCTTGGTGTCTAATCAACCTTTGCCGACGGCGTAGATATGGTGTATATTATGAAACTGCCCAGTGCCATAACTAAGGGGGATTGGGAACCCCCTCCCCCGCTCGAGGTCTGTGCAGCGTGTATGCCCCCGCCCGTTCAGAAATCGGAGTAAAACAAACTCTGGTGACAGCCCGCCTTGGTCAGTGGCACATTGTTTAAACAATGAGTTCCCCCTTTCCGAGAACCCCTCCTTCCCCTTGAAATGCCCCCAGTAAAATGTTCCCCAGTTACGCTACTTGTCTGAAAGTATCGTTGAAATTCGGTAACTGTGATCAGTGCTTACTCGAAGTCTGGAAGCTTGGCGTTGTTGCCATTGAAAGTTCCCCAGGATTGTCGGAGTCTTTTCCTGGTTTCTTATAAGACAGGGTGAACATAAAGGAGCACTTCGTTTTTTGGGTACGACGTGGCTTAGTTCATTTCATATCGGGATTTTTCTTATGGTTGTCGTTTTCATAGTTTACTTCCAAATTTTGAACATCCTTTATAATCAATTATGTTTTTTATGTTTTTTGATTTTAGATTTTTAATATGAGTTTCGCCCCTTCCTGTTTTTTGCTTTATCGAGTTAAATGTACTCTAGTGGCTTGAATTTTGTTGAATCATTCTTGCCTGTGAAGTTGCGGGATTTTTAGATAACTTCGTGGTTATTTTCAGGTATGCACAAGAAATCACTGGAAGTGGCCGAAAAAATAAAGGACAATCAGGACCGGCAGCCCAGAGACGAAGATGTCGGGTCCCCACCTCCGAGTCAGCAGGATAAACCCTGCTACGAGGACAAGGACCAGATCCGGTCCAACAGCATTGCCTCCCTGCGCGCCAAGGCCATCGAACACACCTCCAAGATCCTGGGCCAGACTGCGTCTGCTCCCCCGAGCCGCCGGTTGGAGTCCCCAGCCCCGCGGGGGGAGGAGGACGGGGCGACGCGGCGCAGCGGTAGTGACGACGACGACGCCGGAGGCGAGAAGAGTTCGTCCTCATCAGCACCGGAGTCGTCGGACACCGAGCCGAGCGCTGAGCGCTCAATGGCGGGTGACAAGCATGAACGCGGCCGGTTACTTGGCATCGGGCACTCCGCCGGCCTGGAGATGTTTTCATTGCACTGACACGAAACACCAGGCAGTGTCACTAAGCCTGTCATTTAATGAGAAAAAAAAACTGTCCCCGTTCGCCGTCTCAAACCTTAGAAAAAATGGTGTGTTAAAATCACGCGTTTGAAGTCATGAGTACTGTTTTTTTTTTTACAGTGGATATAAAGCAAGTGATTATGATATGTATTAATGCATGTATTGTACGTGTATATTCGCCTATTGCGTTACTTTTCTCACCCACTGCTTTTCGAACACTGTATTTAGTCCTATTTCTTTGTCATCCAAACACCGTATAGGGTCTACTTAAAGCTCTTTGTACTTTAGAATTTCATTTCCATGTTTTAAATGGTCGATTTAGGACTCGGTTAATGACTCAATTGTGTATATTGAATGTGTAATTATATTTCTTCAGATGGTGACAGTTTGATGACGGATTTGTAAATATGTTTTTGTGTTCACCTTCTCTTACCATTAAGCAAGGGAAACTCTCGATTTCTGAATTGTAAAAAGTGTAATACTTGGAGATTATTTACGTTGTAAATTTCTTATAATTTAATCGTAAACAAAAAAATGTATGAAATACTTACCGGTACTGAAAACAGAGGGTATATACGACCATTATAAAAACCTGATTGAAACGTGTATTTGGAATTGGTTCGTCTATATATAAGCGTCTATGATGTACTCTTGAGAACAACTCTTGGCAAAATTCGGACTCTTTCGAAGCAGGTTTGGTAACTCGATGGTGGCGAACGTCTGACCTTCGTTTCTAAGGAAGAATAAGGGGCTGGGATAGGATCACCTACTCACCGCTACAATTCACTATAAATGAAGATATAATTCAGATTGGACAAAAACGCCAAGTTGTCTCGCATTCCAAGCATAAAGCTAATGGTGGGTTCGAGCGGTTCACTTCCTGATTCATAATTATGTACTAATATTGCATTTGTCTGGACCGTTTCTCTGTGAAAAAAATGGTTACTTTCCGTTCAGGCTATTCAACTCCCGGGTGAAATTGTGTAACGCACGTTTCATGTATATGCCTGTATAGAAGGTTATTTATTTGTAGACCTGTTGGCATGATTAATTGTTTCATAGTTTCTTTTTGAAATGAAAGTTTAGAATTCGTACGTTTAACGTGTCAATGATTTACCATCGTACTTCGTCTTGCTTTGTACTCTCAATTTTGTTGAATTAGTATTTATGTGCACTCGTTATGCAAACCTCCATCGACGAATCATGCCGGCAACACTAACTTCTCATTGTCGGAGAGAATACGCACGTCGTTGAGGTTGCAATGATGTAATTTCGGCGCCAATTGCTTTTCATCATAAAAGCACAACTTGAATCATGCAATTTTGCGCGAAACCACCTCGCTCATGATTTGTTTCTTCGTGGTTTGTTTTCCTTCTGGATTCGGTAGGCGGGAACGAGTTGAGAGAAAAATTGGCATTTTGTTTGACGGCGTGCCAGGTCTTGCCTTTTAATTAATTCCTCAGACGGCAGGCATTTGTATATTTACCTCACTTTGTAGATATGTCACTTAAACTCCACAAGGTGAAAATAAAAGCGTAACCAATCAGTTTAGTGTGTGTGAGTGTGTCTTGGGAAAATTGTTTGCGTTCCGAACAAAAGCCCCAAGGTCGGAGACGCAAACTGAAGTTAAAAGGTAAGAGTCACACCGGTAATGTCTCTGCGAGTAAAACGAGACTCTAATCAACTTTTACTTCCTGCCCCGCGCATTCCAGTGTCACTTCATTTTTATAACTCGACCCTTATGCACTGAAGCATCGCGGAGCTCAATGTGAAGTATGGACGGTAGTTGCCATTGTTTGCAAATCACCTGAATTTTAGTTCGGTATAAATATAATGTCCACATAACTTCTTGGGTGAAGGAAACGAGAGGAAATAATATGGTTGATTGGAATGCATTGCACAGACAATCACACGCGAGACAAGTTATGACAATGGATAAAAATAACAGTTATCTGTTTCAATTTGGGAAAATTGACTATCGGCGACCACGTACTAGAAAGAATTTCATTTGGCGGTAAAGAACTGTGTGCCCTCACAGCCCGGCAGACAGTGACTGAAAATTATCAATTGGTTTAAAACATCTGCTGCAGAGGAGCGCGTCCGGAGATCGACTACACGAGGCGAGCCAACATGAGAAATCTAATTACTTTTCCATGTTTCCCCTTGTCTAGCTCTCTTAGCGTCGCAACAACCGCATGGCAGCTATTTGACTGTGGCATGTGGAGAGAGGGTTTCGTGCCGCAGCACAAGACCCGTTGCACGGCTCACGAGTCGTGCACTAGGCCCATATAATTCATCTTTTCACGTGCAGATCCTGCGATCATTTTCGATGGGATTCCAACTCGTGAATACGACATTCGGCTCACAAATAACTACAAATCGGTTCTTCCTGTCATCACTTTATTTTATTCGAGCATTGAAAAACAAAACACGTAATTTTCTTTACTGGACTCCCCGTGCCAAATTAAAATAAAAAGTTCCTATAGGGCCTAGTTCGTAAAAGACGCAAATCCAGCATGAGCCCTGACGTGATACATCTCAGGCATAAACAGCATAAGCACGAAAGGCTCGTGATCACGGATACCCGCAAGAAAGCTGTCCATCTATTGCACCAGTCCGCTTAACGTCTGGGAAAAGGGTCAGCACGATGTTCCCCTGTACTTCGGGACAATCTGACTCATTAAATTAACAGATTAATGAAGCCATCTTTTTATGAGTGAATCCACCCCCCCGAATAAGGGAGGAGGATGCGTTTGTGGAACTAATTATAATGACTTTGCTTCGGTAGGCCTACCCATGATAAAATAGCCACCGGAACCACTGGGTAAGTTGCGTACTGTTGGAAAACGTTTTACTTTGTTTCTTGTCTGATAACTCTTAAACTGTAAACAAGCTTTGGTCATTTTCGATTCCATTCAGAATTGGTGGCAGACGTCCCACTATTTCATGAGTCGCCATGGCGACCAGTCCTCTGTGTATGGAGTTAGGCGTCGCCTTTTCCAAGGATATTAATTTTTATGCTCCGAAAAGTGTCAACATGCACCAAAATAATTCATGACACTTACCTGATTCAAAACAATTTCTGGTGTTATAGGGTGTTTGTTGGTAGACACTCCCATAGCAACGGTGCTACGTAACGGCTACCATTGCATGGCGCACGCATTGTTCATGCAATGGAAGCGAGTTTTTCTTTTCAAGTTTTTTTAAAGTCATCTTATTAACACTCGTTTCAGACAGGTGTTTTAGGGTCGCGCGCGCTCGGAACGACAGCAGAGCGACTTGGTTTCAGAAGTCGCTCTTTTCATGGGCCAAACCCAATGCAAATGTAAGTGTTAAGTTCGTCTGTCTAAAATCACAGTATAATTGTGTCGACCCGAGTCGCTCTTTATTCTATTTGGTTCGCTGTGACTCTAGAACGCCTGTCTGTGAGACTCACGGTTGTGAGTCTCTTTATCCCATAGGGGCGGGGGTTGAGGATTCTATGAGGACTCGTGGTTTATCGTCTGACAGTATATCTCATTCAAGAGATTTCTTAACATCCTGAGTTCCTCCGACTAAAAGGCCGCAAGACGACCTCTGCGTGGTTTCTTTTTTTTCTGAGTGCCGAAATGGTTATTACCAAGAAACTTTTTTCAGGGTAATTGTACGCAACTGTAGGATGCAACTTTTTAATACGCGTTCCGCACTGAGGCTGCTGTTTTAAGCGGTACTTTTCAGCTAATTTTTTCCCTTCTCAAAAGGTAGCCATGTTTATATCTGTAGTTAGGGCCTAAGCTTAAAATGTATAATTTATAGCTGAACGGCGACGAGCGTATAAATTCCAAGAGGAAAGAAGCATTGAAATTTGTTTGTCTTTTAAAAAGTAATTGTATATAAATTTTATTGCTAGCAAAACAAAATTCCTCTCATTAAGATTTGAATGGTCTTCCCTAAGTCCAACGCAGGTTGGTTGACTTAAACTGCACCATTGAAAATACACCTCTTGCCTTGCTTTGCGAACTGGGGCCCATGTTACTTTCGGTTGAGAAATGGCCATGCTTGTTGCAGATTTAAAAAAATACATGTTAATGCTAAAACGTGTACTTTCCTGTGAATAGAGCATGGGAAAACGATTAACTTTCAAAAAATGCGATTACAGAGGCTGTGAATCGCTGAGAAATTTAAATGAGGAAAGCCTGGCAGCTGAATAGAGTCTTTCGTAAGGTTATTGTTCGTAGTCTGCTAAGTCTGGCATTGCGGCAATCTTCAAGTCGTTAACGCGGCCGTGAACGAACATAATTAAACCCATAAAAGCGTGTTTTGGTAAAGGGGCTTAACTTGACTTTAATAATGTAAATTTCCCGAAAGGCGATTAGCGGCTCCCACCGTGCCGCCTGCAAGGCGGACCCCCGGGTCCCGTTGGAATATACCTTGGCGGATGTAGGCCCGAATCCGCGTACAAAATTGGATTCAGTTCCCTTACTTGTTCTTTGATGGTACTGCAGTCAGGCACGGGATCACTGTACAAATGCGGGCTAAGTAGATTAATTATCCCCTCTACGGTCCAAAACTCGAGGAAACAATCTGAAATTACCGGTAGTAAACCCTTGTTGGGGTACTGGAATTGTGTCATCTTTTAAATGCGTAGAAAATACGCCCAACTTGATGGATACCTTTACTGTGTTTTAATTTGGTTGCTGGGGAATTTCCACTGATGAAAAACTGATAAAAATAATGTTTGAGGTGTCAAACATAATTTTGTATTTATTTATTTATTATTTATTAGTTTGTTTGACCACGGTAGTTTGGGAATTCCTCTTCCAGCTGCAGATTCCTTGTTGGAAGAACAAATTCCCACGAAAATTCATTTAAAGACGACCTTGAAACAAAAATGATCATAACATCATACCATTTCATTCGTTATTTCATTATATAATTACATCATTTTCCAAAAGCTGAACATGTACCTTGGAAAAGCGTTTATTTAAATGCATTCCCAA